TGGTATAGGGATATATGTATATCTACTAATACATATATTCATGCAATCAAATGAAAAAAGACAGGAATTTGAAAGAGAATGGGAAGGGATATTGAGTAAGGATTTTTGGGAGAAATGCATAGACATATTTTAATCGAAGTACAAACTAACAAATAAACTAACCCAGCCCTGCAGAAAGTTTTGGAAGGAAAACTCCAACCCCAGGAAGTTAACTACAACCAGAAAAACATAGGCATTAGAGAATACATCTCTACCAACAGCCAAAAAACAAGGGGATGAAACTCCACACATAATTCCACCAACAACAACCATTCCAAATCAAAGAAGAATGAGCAATCAATGGTCATTAATATCCATCAACATTAATTCCTTAATTCACCCATAAAAAGACACAGGCTAGAAGAATGGATTCACAGACATAACCCATCTTTCTGCTGCATACAAGAAACACACCTTACCCTCAAAGACAGACATTACCTGAGAGGTAAAGGTTGGGAAAAATTTTTCCAATAAAATTGACACAAGAAACAAGCAGGGGTAGCAATCCTAATATCTAACAAATTAGACTTTAAAATAAAATCAATCAAAAGAGATGAAGGAGGTCATTACATACTCATCACAGGCAAAATCCACCAAGATGAAGTGTCTACCTTGAACATCTATGCCCCAAATACAAAGGCATCCACATTCATGAAAGAAACATCACTAAAACTCAAATCAAATATAGAGCCCCACACACTTATAGTAGGAGATTTCAACACACCATTCTCACCACTAGACAGGAATACCAGACAGAAACTCAACAAAGAACCACAGGGTCTATTAGAAGTAATGACCCAATTGGGAATAACAGACAACTATAGAACATTACACCCACATAAAAAAGAATATACTTCTTTTCACCACCACATGGAACCTTCTCAAAAATCGACCACATACTTGGCAATGTATCAAACCTCAGAAGCTTCAAAAAACTGGAATAACTCCATGCATCTTATCAGACCACCATGCTTTAAAATTAGAATTCAACAACAATACAAATTGCAGAAAACCTACAAACTCATGGAAATTGAATAATACACAACTGCACCATTCTTGGGTCTTAAAGACTTCCTAGAATTCAATGAGAATTAAGACACAACATACCCAAAAATATGGTACACTTTGAAAGTAGTGCTATGGGGGAAGTTCATAGCACTAAGTGCCCACATGAAGAAACTGGAGAATAGTTATACTAGAGAATTAACAACACAGCTGAAAACTCTAGAACACAAAGAAGTAAACTCCTCCAGGAGGAGTAGATGCCAGGAAATAAACAAATTGAGGGCTGAAATCAATAAAGTAGAAACTAGGAAAAGAATACAAAGAATCAATGCAACGAAGAGGTGGTTCTTTGAGAAAATCAACAAGATAGACAAACTTTGTCCAAACTTTCCAAACAGCAGAGAGTGAACATGCAAACTAACAAAATCAGAAATGAAAAGGGGAGCATAACAACGGACTCTGAAGAAATTCAGAAAATCATTAGGTCATACTTTGAACAACTGTACTCCACAAAATTCAAAAATTTAAAGGAAATTGGCGACTTCCTCAATAGCTATCACTTTCCAAAATTAAATCAAGAACAGATAAGCAATTGAGGTAGACCTATAACCCCTATGGAAATAGAAGCAATCATCAAAAGTCTCCCAAGCAAAAAAATGTCAGGTCCAAATGGCCTCAGTGCAGAATTCTACCAGAAATCCAAAGAACAGCTTATACCAATTCTTCTCAAAGTGTTCCACACAATAGAAGCAGAAGGGACTTTGCCAAACTCTTTCTACGAGGCTTCAATAACCTTGATCCCCAAGCCACACAAAGACACAACTAAGATATAGAACTTCAGACCATCTCCCATGAACATTGATGCAAAATACTCAATAAAATACTTGCAAATCAGATCCAAGAACACATCATAACAATCATTCACCATGATCAAGTATGTTTCATCCCAGGGATGCAGGGATGGTTCAACATTTGAAAATCCATCAATGTAATCCACCATATAAACAAGCTGAGAAATTAAAATCACATGATCATCTCACTAGATGCTGAAAAAGCCTTTGATAAAATCCAACACCCCTTCATGTAAAGGTCTTGGAAAGACCTGGGATAACAGGAACATACCTAAACATAATAAAAGCTATATACAGCAAACCAACAGCCAACATCAAACTGAATGGACAGAACTCAATGCAATTACTCTAAAATCAGGAACAAGACAAGGCTCTCCACTCTCTCCATACCTTTTCAACATTGTACTTGAAGTTCTAGACAGAGACATATGACAACAAAAGGAGATCAAGGGGATACAAATTGGGAAGGAATAGGTCAAACTTTCACTGTTTGCAGATGATGTGATAGTTTACATAAATGACCCAAAGAACTCTACCAGGGTACTCTTACAGCTGAATAACACCTTCAGCCAAGTGGCAGGCTATAAGATCAACTCAAGAAAATCAGTAACCCTATTATATACAGATGTTAAAAGGGCTGAGAAAGAAATCAGAGACCATCACCCTTTACAATTGCCACAGACAATGTAAAGTACCTTGGGGTAACACTAACCAGACATGTGAAAGTCCTGTATCACAAGAACTTTGATACTTTAAAGAAAGAAATTAAAGAAGCCCTCAGAAAATGGAAAGATCTCCCATGCTCTTGGATAGGTAGGACCAATGTAGTAAAAATGGCAATCCTGCCAAAAGCACTCTACAGATTCAATGCAATCCTGATTAATATCCCAGCACAATTCTTCATATATCTTTAAAGTACAATAATCAATTTTGTATGGAAAAACAGAAGACCCAGGATAGCCAAAACATCCCTGTTCAACAAGGCAATGTCCGGAGGCATAGCCATCCCTGACCTCAAGCTCTATTATAGAGCTATAGTCTTGAAAACAGCTTGGTATTGGCACAAAAATAGACAGGTAGACCAATGGAATCGAATTGAAAAGCTGATATTAACCCACACACGTATGAACACCTGATCTTTGACAAAGAAGATAAAAATAGACAATGGAATAAAGAAAGCATTTTCTACAAATGGTGCTGGCATAACTGGTGGCTAGCATGTAGAAGAATGTGGATTGGTCGATGTTTATAATCGTGCACAAAACTTAAGTCCAAATGCATCAAAGACCTCAACATAAATCCAGCCACACTGAAACTCTTAGAAGAGAAAGTGGGTGGTACCCTTGAACAAATTGGTACAGGAGATATCTTCCTAAACATAACACCAGTAGCACTGACAGTTAGAGCAACAATTAATGAATGGGACCTCCTGAAACTGAGAAGCTTCTGAAAAGCAAAGGACACAGTCAGCAAGACAAAAAGGCAGCCCACAGAATGGGAAAATTATTCACTAACCCCTCATCTGACAGAGGGTTGATCTCCAAAATTTACAAAGAACTCAAGAAGCAAGACTCCAAAACATGAAAGGATCTAATTAAATAGTGGACTGCAGAACTAAATAGAGACTTGTCAATAGAGGAGTCTAAAATGGCTGAGAGGCACTTGAGAAAGTGCTCAACATCCTTAGCCATCTGGAAAATGCAAATCAAAACAACTCTGAGATACCATCTCACTACTGTCAGAATGGCTAAAATCAAGAACACCAATGACAAAGTATGCTGGAGAGGATTTGGAAAAAGTGGAACACTCCTCCATTGCTGGTGTGGTGGGAGTGCCAGCTTGTTCAGCCACTTTGGAAATCAGTATCGAGATTCCTCAGAAAAATGGGAATAAGCCTAACACAAGACCTAGCAACTCCAGTCTTAGGCATATATCCAATAGATGCCCATTCTTTCAACAATGATGTCTGCTACACTATGTTCATAGCAGCGTTATTTGTAATATCCAGAACTTGGAAGCAACCTAGATGCCCCTCAACCGAAGAGTAGATAGAGAAAATGTGGTACATTTACACAATGGAGTACTATTCAGCAGAAAAAAACAATGGAATCCTGAGATTTGCAGGCAAATGGATGGCACTAGAAGAAACCATTCTGAGTGAGGTAACGCAGTCACAAAAAGAGAAACATGGCATGTACTCTCTCATATATGGGTTTTAGACATAGATCTGGGGAGTGCCAGCCTACAATCCCATGGCCAGAGAGTCTGGGAAACAGAACCTTCATTCAATAGCTGATGGAAGAAGAGGCAGACTCCCATAGCTAAGCACTGAGTTGAACTCAAGAAAGCCAGTAACAGAGAGGGAGGACTGATGACCAAAGGAATTAAGACTGGGCTGGTTTAACCCTCAGAAACAGCTGACCTGACAAGGGTTAACTCTTGAATCCCAGGCATCAGCCTGGTAATCCAGCATGGGACTGATCAAGACCTCCTGAATGTGAGTGTCAATGAGGAGGCCTAGGTAATCTATTGAGCCTTGGGCAGCAGATCAGTATTCATCCTGAGTATATGCATGGACTTTGGAATCCCATCCACCAATGTGAGATGCACTCTCCCCTGAACCCTTGGGGGAGGGTCTAGGCCCTTCCCTGTATGAAATGACAGACTATGGACACCCCCATGGAAGGCCTCACCCTCCCTGGGGAAATGAGGGGATATTGGGGTAGGTTGGGGGGAGGGCTCGGGAGGAGGGGAGGTAAACAGAGATGGACATGGAACTGAACTGACTTGTGAAGCAACCTTGTTTGTAATCTAAATTTAAACTTAAAAATAAATAATAAAAAATAAAATAAATGTTAAAAAAATAAACTCAAATTTTTATATAGGGCTATATGTATATCTACTAGTACATGAATATAAGTGACAGAAATAAAAATAAGATGCACCAGATCTGTACTATTCTTTGTTGTCCAAATAAGATTACATTTCTACAAATAAATCTGTACTGCCATTCTCATATGACACAGAAGACCACAGTCTTGTATTGAGTCACTTGGCTAGTCCTGTGTCTGTGCCTAGTCATTGCAGATTTGCATTTGCCTATAGCACAGCCCACTGCCCTGCAGACTTCTTCATAGCCCAGTAATAACCTGTGCTGAAGTTAGACTCAGACAGGGCACAGCACAGACATGAAGACTCCTGCAGAGTTTCTGGCTTTGCTGGTTTGCTGGCTTACAGGTAAGGAAGACATCATTGAAAATTTATTCAGCTGACAGTGGTCAGTGCTGCCTGGTCTTCAGAAATGTCATTTTGAACAATATTAATTTTGTGGATTTTTTTCATTTTCCAATCTCAGGTTCCAGAGGTGATATTCAGATGACCCAGTCTCCAGCCTCCTTATCTGTATCTCTGGGAGAAAGTGTCACCATCACATGCCAGGCAAGTCAGAGCATTGGTAATTGGTTAGCATGGCATCAGCAGAAACCTGGGAATCCTCCTAAGCTCCTGATCTATTATGCAAGCAGCTTGGCAGATGGGACCCCATCAAGGTTCAGTGGCAGTGCATCTGGCACACAGTTTTCTCTCCAGATCAGCAGCCTGCAGCCTGAAGATGTGGCAAATTATTACTGTCAACAGTATGATGCTGCTCCTCACACAGTGATTTAAATCATGACATAAAACACCCAGGAAGCAGAAGTGAGAGCATAGCCTGCCCCAATTGCTACTTCTGGTGTCTCTAGCTGCTGAGATTGTTTACATTTTCTCCTTGCCAATATTAAAATGTCAATGTTACATTTTTGTATAGGGACCAGAATAACTTTTCTTAAATCTCTGTCCTCCTTCCCAACCTAGCATTATTATCATGAAAATGTTTTTCTTAACTCACATGAAATACTAACTTTTCCTGAGTTTCAGGTTTGGTAAAAACTGAGATTAATGCAACAATGATATCAACATACACACACATACACCAGGTATAAGCACACACAGGAGTTACTAGACAAATTATTAACCAACTAAAATTAGAAAATTAGTATCTTATTACAACATTTAAATCTAGTGGGCACAAACTCCAAATAAAGCAAAAAGGTCATTGCATCCTATGCCTTCATAGCAGCCTCTAGCATGGTAAAAATACTGGTCAGGGTACCCGTTAAGAGTACTGGCTTGTTTTCCAGAGGACCCAGATTTGCTTTCCAGGACCCATGTTACTGCTATCAAGTATGTCCAATTCCCCTTACAGTACAGCAGAGACTTTTTTCTGGGTTCTGAGGTCATTGAACTCATAAGGTACACTAGTAGCTATACAGCAAAACACATAAAATAAATTAAGTGATTCTTAAATATTTAAAACCCCTAACAAACTATTATTGTCTCAAACTGATACTGCAAACAAATTATTCTCAGAATCTAGAGTTAATTTTTTTTCTGGAAGTAAGGCTTCTTGATCATAAGGTCTTCAGACACTTGTCAACTTTCACATCTTGTGCATAGAGGAGAGGTAGTTTTACTCCTTAAGTGTTTATTCATTTATTACTAGGAGGACAAGTGTCTTAATTACTGTTCTACTGCTGTGAAAAAACACCACAACCAAGGCAATTTATAAAAGAAAGTATTTATTTGGGGTTTACCAATCAAAAAGTTTGATCCATGACCAGCATGGTTGGAAGAAGGCAGCAGGCAACAGATATAGAGATATGACCCTGTAGTAGTAGCAAAGAGCTTACATCTCTATTTTAAAGTAAGTGGCATAGAGAGGAAGAGAGATAACTGGAAAAGGAACAACATCATCAAGCTGCATGCACACCAGGCAACAAACATGCAATCAGGTAATTCCAATCTGTGACTTTATCAAGACCTCTAGTATTGACAAATAAACACAGAGGGATAGAATTAAGTAGGGGTGGTCAAACAGTTCAGTCTTTAAATAACAGTCCTTAAAATAACACTTCATGGAAGTCATTGTGTTTATTATCTTACACACATGCATGAGTTACCATGCATATGATTGCAATTAGATTTATCATGGCAAAGGACATGTGCATTCAACAAACATTTTCAATTCAAACAAAATCATACATACTGGCCTCCTCCAAACAACACCTCCTCCTTGTGGATGACTAACAGAAATTTCTGGAATTTTCTATTGATGAAATTTCATGTAGTGACTTCTACTCTATTGCATTATATAATTTTTATAGTTCACTTTAATTCTGAATAATGCCACTGGTGCATTCTTACAAAATAGCTCACATTGAGGTATTCCTCTTTTAGAAGAAAAGAGAATTATAACCTTATTTTAAATAATCAATCTATTCATTAACTTCATAAAATACTCTTGAATTTTAATGAAATTTCTCATTTTTCAATCTGTTCAATGACCCTATAAAGTTTCTTTTTTCCTGATTTGAAAATTGCAAAGGTTGTACATACATGGTATAAATGTGCCCTCAAGCATCAATATTCTTGTAATTCCCTAACAGTAAATACACTTGGAATTTTTTTTTTGGTTTTTACTAGGCAGGGTTTCTCTGTATTGTTTTGGAGGCTGTCGGTCCTTCCTGGCCTCGAACTCACAGAGATCTGCCTGCCTCTGCCTGCTGAGTGCTGGGATTAAAGGCGTGTGCCACCACCGCCCAGTTCACACTTGGCATTTTATTGCCAATAGTTAAGAACAATACTAGGGTGCCTGAGGAGTTCTAAAGACAGCTTGGTTAGAGACTTGTACCTTCAAGGCAGGGAACTCTGGATTTAGAATAGAACCAAGGAATGCAAAGTTTTAAGAAGAATCATTCAAGATACTAAGAGATTACCAGTAAATTGATAGCTATAACTCGGACTTCCATTTCTTGTTGTGAAATGCTCACTACATACATACACACACACACTCTGTGTGTATATGTTTTTGTTTTTCTCCATAAATCATACACGTCTGTGTGTGTATGTATGTATATTTTCATTTTTCTCCATATATCATACCTCATATTCACCCAAATTCTTCAGTTCAAAAGCTTCTCTTCTTAGATATCATGAGAGATATTATTATATATGCTCACTGTTGGCTGAGTTATAGGTATGCAAATTTAGGTATACATCAATCTCCTGGGGCCCTCCCACCCAAAGAATTCAGTGATTTTAAAATCTTGGCTACATAGGAGTGATGTTGTCAGCAGTTTGGGATGCCAGAAGGACCAGTTGGAGCACTCAGCCTTATTCTACTTATCTGAGGAGTTCCTGTTTTGACTTAAATCATTGCAGGAAATTGCTTTGTGGACAATAGCAAGTTGCAACATAGTCAGGCACCAGGCTACTGAAGCAGAGAGTGAAATTTCTACCAAATGTGGCAACCTGAATACATCATAGATCATAATCTTTGGAACATTTCCTGGTTACTTCTGGTATAAGTATAAACATTTGTATCTTAACTTGGCTAACATGCGATTGTGATTGTCTTCTACAGATAAAAATAGAGAATGGATACTTGGTCATCAGGACATGATATCTAGCTCGTTTTATGTGAAAATTAACTGCAAATGTACACAAATGAATAATATTTTGGTATTATTTTTCTCAAAGACCAAGCAGGAATGAAAACTGTGATTGGAAAAATCTCCAGAGTTATCACTTCTCATCTAGAAACCAGAGCATCAGCAGGCCCAGTGAATGATTGGAAACCCTCATATATATGATGCGTCTTGATTGTAGCTGGCACCTGCATAGGTTTTGTCCAACTTATTTATGAAGTACACATGCAGGAGCCTTTGCTGTGGACACAGGAAAGTGAGCAAAGAGTTAGAAGATCTGGGCACAAGAGTCATCCATATATAATGCACTGCCATCATGAGTTTCATGATACACCAAGGGAATTCATGTGTTTTCTTCCTAAGCTAGAAATGTCTTCCATCTCTTCATGAAAAGTCCTGAGTCCTTAACCAGGGAATTAATTTAGCTGGAGAAGCCTTGACTTATTTTGTTCTCTGAGTCAAGATTATGTTAGTTTTTCCAGGGACTCTCCTAACAAATTATCAACATTTGTAATATAATTAAGAGATGTAATATCTCAAGTTCAGGATGTGGGTTTTGAGGCTCCTGAAATGTTTTAATGGAGAATTTACCAATCAATTCTTTCAGACTCTGAAGCTGTCACTTCTCTGTGGCCACATTAACTTATTTTTCTCCATGCTCACATGTAATACTTTCATATCTGCATTAAAAGTATTAGTCAGAAAGTTTGTGTTTGCATCCTGGGACTAGCTGTGTAATCAGTCTTCCTCAGGTAAGAGCTAAAACTATGACACACCACTGAGATGTTTTCCCAGTAAAGTCAAATATTCAGTGTACATTAAATTATTCTTCTTCTTCCTACACTCCCTGTTTCCTTTTTAGACTCTCTTGATCCTTCTGTTACTTTTAGTCTTACTCATAATAATATATCTTTTCAATTCTGAGAGAATGCACAAGTGTGTGATGCTCAGAGAGTTACTGTAAGGGGATAATTTTTATAGATTTCCATTATTTTTCTCCATTGCTACACAGGAATAGGACACAGAGAGACATGTTTGTGAATAATTTGGAGAGTGGCACTGGCTACTCAGAACTTCACAGTCTATAAAACCTTAGTCTGCTTTAAAATTTCTTTTCTGTGAATTTAATAAATTTATATGTTTTCACCAAAGTATACCATGTACACTTATTAAAATGTTATAATTGATTACCCATGAGTTTTTTCATTTTATTATAGTTACACTCTTATTTTCATATCCATCCCCCATTCCCTAGCCCTCTCATTCTCGAATGCTTCCCGCTGACTCTCCAGGGGAGATCATCAAATTCCATCACATCATTTGGGGAAGGGCCTATGTCCATATCGGGGCTGCATGATTTTGTATAAATTAAAAATTAATTTGGATTTTCTCAGGATCCTACATTCCTTAGCTTCAGTGTAGAAACAGTAGACCCATTAACTCAAGAAGAAACCATCGCTATCCACTTTTTAAATCTTTTCTCTCACTCAGCAGAAATTAGTTATGGATGAATAAAGTAAGTAAATTTCTATAACATGAAAATGACTCTTTTGAAAAAGACTCAGCAAAATGCTCAGTGTTTTAAGAAATATTTTGTGGGTTCATGAGAGAACAGTTTTTCTAGGTATATCATAGCTTAGAAATGAGTAATTCATAATTGATGAATATGTCAAGCACTGTACTAAATAAAAAACCCACAAAACAAGATACTAAAATCTAAAATTGATGCCTTACTAAAATGAACAACATAAGTAGTGTATTAAGTTGCAGAATTCTGTAGGAGTAAACCCCACAAAGGGATCTGCTTACGAGGGTGGGGACAAGTAAATTAGCACAGGTAGAGATAAAAGGAAGCTGCCCATGCTTCTGATTCCCAGCTTATGTGATTCTCTCTCTGGTAAATAAATATATTGTATTCCTTATTGCATTGACTATCATCATTATCTGGCATCAGGAGTGTGATTGGGAGCCCACACCTCTGTGGTCAGTGGCCAGCTGGCTCAGTAAATGTGTCCAGGTTTCTCTCCGTAGAGGCCCCCAGAACAGTCTTTCCCAGTAACAGTGGAGGACAGCCTCTCTCAAGACAATTAGAAAATCCACAGCCTATGGTAAAGACTGACGTCACTGTGGATAACAGATTAG